ATCCTCTGTCCACCAATATAGCAGGAGAAATGTTTCACTGCCCACACAGTGGTCAATAGAGCCCTCTCACAGTCTGAATACCGTAATTCAGGGCCCGCCATCGTTTTGCTGGCGTAGGCCACAACACGCTTGTCTTTGTCGTGTATTTGGTACAGACCTGCACTCATGCAGTGAGGTGAGAAGCCCACTTCCAAGTAGAACTCTTTGTTGTAGTCTGGGTAGACTAGACATGGGGCTAACTTGAGCCTGTCTTTGAGAGCGTTCATTGCCTGCTGTTGTGTATCAGTCCAGACAAAAGGAACGTCTTTCTTTAAGAGTTCAGTCAGTGGTTTTGCGAGATCCGCATAATGCTCTATGAACTGGCGAGAGTAATTACACACTCCCAAGAAACTCTGCAGTTCCTTGAGATTGGTTGGGACTTTGAGGTTGTCTAGGCCTTGGGTGCGAGTCAACTGTGGTTGTATTCCGTCCGGACCCACTAGGAGGCCAACGTAATCCACCTTGGTTCTGCACCACTGGCATTTCGACAGTGAGATTTTAGCACCAGCAGTTGTTAGCTGATTTAGGACGTGGTCGATCTCAGCCAAATGAGAGTTCAGTGTTGGCTGCCTCAAAAGGATGTCGTCCACGTAGATCAGTGTCCCACGCTCGTGGGCGTCTGGACATGCTTTGTTCAAGAAGATGTTGAACTCTGCAGGTGAGTTAGCGTAGCCAAAGGGACACCTGGTAAAGGTGTATTGTCGGCTGCCAAAAGTGAAAGCTAGTTTGTGTTGATCCTCGGCGCGCACAGGGATGGTCCAAAAACCAGAGGCGACGTCGAGGGTCGAGAAGTACTTACCGTCGGTGACCTTTGGCAGTTCCTGATGGAGCTGAGTCATCGGCCACCTGGATAAGGGTACTTGTTTGTTTAGCTTCCTGTAGTCTATGGTAAGTCTCCACTTACCATTTGGTTTTAAAACTGGCCATAGAGGCGCAGAGTAGGTGCTGTTACATTGTCTGATTATACCTTTGACCAAAAGGTCATCAATGATCTCCTGGACAGGCTGGTGTGCTGCCAGAGGGATCTTGTATTGTCTGACAAATGTTGGCGGTGCGTTGGGTGGGGTTGGGATTCTCACTGCGTGGAGTGAGGTCAACCCACAATCTGTCGAATCAGTTGCAAATGACTTTTCATATTTCAAAAGAACTTGGCGTAGTTTGTCTCTTTCTTCATCAGATGTCAGAGCGTCGGCTTGTGCGACCACCTGATCAATCTGTGATGAGACTGATAAGGGTTCTTGCTCCTTGGGGAGCTCCAACGAATCCCTTCCTGAGTCGTCGGGCCTGTCTATGGGTAAAACACCATAGGTTTGAGGTCCTTGGTCGACATCATTGGTTGAGAAAAGAGCTATGGCCTGTGTTGGTTCCGTGAACCATACTGGTCCAGCTTCTTGACTCGGTACCAGGTTATCTGGGAGTCCTCCCAGAAATGGAATGCCTAGTTCAAAATCATGAAAGTCGGTTGAAATCAACCATCCTAGCATAGTCTTTTTTGGGATCAGCACCTCATCCATGCCAGTGTTACACACAGCAATAGATGTGGTCCTGGAGTCAAGACTCACCTGGTTCGTGGCTTCCACGGACAGTCCCAAGTTGAAAAATGCAGGAGAGGGTTGAAAGTATGCCTGTTTATGGCTAATAGCTTGTCCAGCTATTATGTGGATTCGCACCATTAGGTTTATCACCTGAGGTGGTACTGTGGTGTCTTGGTTGCTAGCAACCTGGCAGGCCTCTGGAATGGTCTGCCCAGCCTTAAGGCTCGCTGTGTCTAGCACAGGAGTATCCTTTGTGGCTGGTTTGAGGGACCACAGCACCTTGTTGATGGTGTCCACGTGGACACCTAACCTTACCAAAATGTCAGAGCCTATGTAGGATGCATGAGGTAAGTTTTGGATAACGAGAAACGGGTGAACCAGTTCTCGTTGATTCCAGTTCAGTTTTAGGTTAATGACTCCTTCTGCGGTCATTACCTGTGAACTATTGGGAACTAATGGAAAGCGGAAAGCTTTTTTAATTAGTTCTAGACCAACGTGTTTGTGAACCAAGGTTTCGTAGAAAGCTCGGTTAATTGCTGATTTATCTGTCCACAGAGACAGTACAGCATCGTTGGTGTGGGACCCTTGGATCTCTACACCCTTAACTACCTGTGGTAGGTAGTGTTTGGTGGACTCTGACTGCTCCAGCTCACAGAGGAGGCTGTCTTGTTGAGTCAGAGTTTGGATCACTTGGGTTTCTTTGGTTTCACATGGTGTCAGAGGAGTACTCACCGGGCTCGTGTCCTCGGCTGAGGAGTCCTGTGCGCCTTCCGCGGTACCCGCTGTTGGGCAGTCTGTGTCACACTCCGGAGGCGTATCGATTGGCAGTGGGTTGCTCACTGTTGTCCACATTGTTTGATCACCATAATCTATAATCGCGCCGAAGCGATTTATAAAATCCTGGCCAACCAAAAATGGGAATGAGTCAACATGGGTCACGTGTACCGGGTGGTACAGTGTCATATTGCCAATCTGCATGTGAACCATTGCAATAGCTGTCAGGGTTGTTTTCATTTCTGAGAGACCCTGCATTTCTATAGCACATTCAGAGAGAGGTATTATCCTGTTAACACTGGCAGCGGCCGTCCTCAGCTCCTCGAACAGTTTAGCTGACATGATCGTTATGTCTGCCCCACCGTCCAAGAGTGCTTCGTGTGTGAGGACACCTTCAAGTGTTACTGACAGGTACGCCTTTTTGGCGACCCCCCTTCTGATAAAGTTACACAGAAACCTCTTGGGTTTTTTCTGACGCTTTTTCACGCGTTCAGCCTTACCTGTGTAATTTTGGTTTGCCTGAACCGTCAGCACAGCAGAAGCTGTTTCTGAGTGTTCAGCCTGTGATGACACGTCATCGTTCGTGTGTGTGTTTACCCCCCCTTCTTCCGATGAGGGGTTGTTTGAGGCAACAACAGCAATGTCTTGGTGTGTTCCACCGACATCTGTTATGTTATCATTCGCGCCCTCAGATGTAATAGGAATTACATTACTGCAAAGTGCTCCTGGTTGGGTTCCCGTGTCAGTGTGTTTCAAAGTTTCTAACAACCTGCGTAGTTTCTCTGTCTCCTCCGAGCTCAGAGGTGTAGGGCCTTGTTTCTGGAACTTTTGTGATTTTTTCGCCTCGGTTCGTTTCGTCCGAGGTGGGGGACGGTCAGGTACGTCTTGCGGGGTTTCCTTTACGTACTGCCCCTGCTGATATGGTTTCTCATATCGTTGCGTCCTGCGCCCACCCCTTTTTCGATAATCACTGTCTTCCTCTGAAAGAGGAGCCTTTTTGTCCCAGCGTGCACCTTCAGTACGCGGTTTGTTAGCTTGAACAGACTGTTTTCTCTCTTTCTTCTTAGGAGGAGGCGGCGAAGCACGTCGTCCTTCTAGTTCAAGAGGGAGGGGTTTAACCTTTACACTAGGAAACACTTCAATGGGCGTCTTAGCATGAGAACATGCTTCAAACACATTCACAGCACACTGTTTAATCTCACTGATGGATTTTTCTCTGAAATTCGCCATCATTTGTACTGATTTTTTAAAATCAGAGTGGAGATTTTTGCTGAAAACAAACTTAAAACCATCATCTTCTTCCATTCCGGTCTCATTTCTGTTACCAAAATAGGCTTGGAAGATCACCAGCACAGATGACAGCTTAGAAAACCTCAGACAAAGGCAACGAGAATAAATAGCCCCAGAATCCAAAATAGATAGCAAATGTACTCCCCCAAATAATAGAGGGAAAGGGGAAAGTGATGGTATCCAAGAACAAGATGAAAAAGCTCACCCAGGTAGTCGACAAAATCGTTGCAAAACAGCCAAACCTAAGTGCTACCCTCCCAGTTAGCCAGGCAACGGAAAGCACGGAAGATGGAGAAGAGGTAAATCTGGTAATGATTCTCAAAGAATTGGGGGATTTCCATGAAGATAACAAGCGACAAATGGATGGCATAAAGGCAAAATAGAAAAAAAAAAAAACTTAAGGTTAGATGAAGCAGAGACACGGATTGCAACTGCTGAAGATCGCGTACGAGGGGCCGAGGACATGCGAACAGAACTGCTAAAGCTACAAGAGCAGCTCCAATTAAAGCTGACAGACCTAGAGAGGAACACCCACAGGGAGAATGTGAGGATTTACAGGGTCCCAGAAGGAGCAGAAGGATCATCAGCAGCAGTTTTGACATTTGTAGAGAAGCTTATACAACAGAAACTGGAAATACCAACAACAACAGACCAACACATTGAAAGAGCACACCAAGCGCCACAGTCTCCACCAGAAAGCAAGCCGAGATCGACAGCAGTCAGATTTTTGAGCTACCGAAAGAAAGAAGTATTGAAAAAGGTGTGGGAAATTAATGGATTTACATGGAACAATGACAAAATCAATATAAATCACGACTACGCACCGGAAATACTGACCAGACGGAGGAAATATGGAGATATACGGAGGATCTTGAGAGAAAACAACATGAGATTTCAAACCTTATTCCCAGCTAGATTGAGAGTGTTTTTTGAAGAGGAAACTAAAACATACGACACAGTAGAAGAAGCACAGATGTATCTGAAAGACAGAGGACTGCCAGTGGTAAGAGTAGAACAGCCGAGCTCACTTCTGGAGAAACTCCAGCAATACTCATGGAAACCAGCACGAGCAAGGGCCAGATGTAAACATCAGACGGTGAGAAAACCAGTTGGGTACAAGGAAAAACTACAAGTATTCAGGCATGATCAAGAAGGGAGTTCTGACAGATAAGAGCAGACAACTACCTGCAGAGCTGCATATTATGTTACAGCACCAAGACTTGGATGCAGCCTACAAACTAATTGAAGATTTGTTGTAAACAGATCAGATCATCCATCTAAATTGAGGGCCCTCAGAGCCACTTGGGGCAGAAAAGATATCCTTCAGCTAAGAGGTCCAGAAGGTACGGGACCTCTGCATTGGAAGTGTGTATGGTAATTTATACTTTTAACAATGTGTTTAAATATAATAGTTATAATAAAAACATTTAAAGCAGCAAAGTGGTGCAGATGTTGGAGCAGTCACATTTCAACAAGAAAGTTGAAGGATCTTCTCCCGACATGGGCCTGTCTGGGTGAGGTTTGCATTTTCTGCTTGTGCACCTGTAGGTTTTTTCTGGGTGATTTCCTCCCATTTACCAAAAATGTGCATGCTAGGCTAATAGATAAATCTGTTGTACCTAGGTGTGACAGAGAGTGTGAATGGTTCTTTGTCTCATTTGTCTCCATGTGTACCTGTGATGGACTTGTGACTTGTGTGCCCCATCTCTCACACAATGACTGATGACAACAGTTAAGGCTCCCACATAGTCACGCGGACCTCAGTCCGCGGAGGTCCGTGCATACTGGATTAGACTGGAAACAGACGCCCGCAAGGCATGTCCATGCAAAAATCAATTTTTACGACCACATACGCGTACTCCGTGTCGCACAATAAACTTCCCGGTGATGGACTGTTTTGTATGTGACACCAATGTATTAAATTCCCCTTCTTCATCCGTGATCTGGTTTAATGGCCTTTTCTTTAGATTTTTTGCCAAGAGGCAAGTGATCTCTTCCTCCTCATCCGTTAATGCCATGACTGAAATGGTGAGAAATAAAGGAATTTGTCACAAGCGAATTAAAATCAGGTCCAGTGTGGCTGCAGGAGGGTCTGGAGATTTCTTGGTGGGCCGGTCTGATGTGTGGGCTGCAGGGCCGGCGCTCCCTGTTTTTTCCTTAATTTTTTTAGAGCTTTTTATTAACAACAGATAAACACAGAACACTACTGTGGATGGGACTGCCAGCTCTCTTTTTTTTTTTTGTGACCTGTCAATCAATCCAGTAGGCGTGTCAGCAAATGACCAATCGGCAAACTCAACTTGTCCCAAAGGTAAACGCCCCTTGCCTGCAAAGCTGGGCTGCAGCCGGTCAGGGTGGATGCTCGAGTATGAAGTCTTAACCCTCTGCGGACAGTGCGCACAGTTTACGCGCGGACTGAGGTCAGCCCAAGTCTGTGCGAGCCTTTAGACTTACTGAAAACTGCAAAACGAATATCTTAAGTCAATGGAAATTCCCACTAGAACAAGAAAACAGCCAAGCCTGAGCAGTGATTTGTATGTAATTTTAAGACAAGTCCCCCGCTTCCAAAGAGGCCCCAAATAAATTAGGTTAAGCGATGTGAAAATCCCACAGCTGTTTCAGGAAGCATTAGCAGCCATATTAGAAGAATCCAGCTGTGCGTCGCAGATTGTCCTGCCACCTCAAAGAAAGCACATCAGATGGTGAGAGAAGCTGCAGAGAAGCAGCGGGAAGACTCAAAAACACTTTATTTCCCACAAGTAAGATTCTGAAATTCCCTGTTTTCTCAGAGATGAAAAACATTACAAGCATCACATAAAAAAAGAGTATGAGTTTCCCTCTGAAGTTATGATTATAGGCTTTTCTATTGCTCCCTTCAGAGAGCATGGCCCTCAGCAAGTTGACGAGGAAGCAGCCCACATAGTAGTGGGAGCTGGAACTTCGTAATTGTACTGTCACAATAAAACTGATGCAGAGCTTCCAGATTTCAGCTCATAGCATCGCCTCAAAAGTCACTTAAGTGACGTGGGGGTGAAGCAGCTGATTCGCTCAAGTGGTTTACTCTCGTAAATCAGTTAAAGAGCCCATGAAACACACACTATGTCAGCATACTGTAAATATATGCACAATGGTGTGCTCGCAAGGACTTGGGCCAAGTTTTTGTGCAAGGCTTTGTGTGGTGCCAATATACAGCAAGTGCCACTGTCCTCATCCCAATTATCTGATATTAATATCTCAGCAAATGCTGTCAGACAGCTCCTGGTGGAGAACACCCCAGCAGTAATTAGCTGTGACAACCTGGGAGTTTTCCTCAGAGGGACAAGCTCTTCACTACCATTACAAACAACTCAAAGACAGCAGGGACCATGATGCCACGCAAGAACTCCCTCCCTTGTGTCTCAGATATTCTATTGCTATTCCCCCCACTGATACAAGCTCGTTTTATTTCTTTTATTCTCTCTCCCTGGAGCAACACTGAGTCTTCACAAGTATGTGCAGCTGCATTTTGATCACAATCGTAAAATACAGCAACCACTTTGTGACATTCACATTGTATAATTGCAGTCAGTATTTCCAAAGGCTGAAAGGTGGGGAGGAGGGGGGACTGAGCATATTTGATAGAGGCAGTAAAGGCTGTAATGACTGCAAGAAAGGAATCGAAAGTAGTAATCCTAGATGCCATAACACACAAGGCACTTCTCAAAATGAATATCTCTCGTTGCAGAGGCTGCTGTAACCTCCTTATTCCTAAACCTGCCATCCAGCCTGGCTTTTACGAAACACGGAGAGAAATATTCTGTCTAGTCCAGAGTTAGAGGCGCTTTGCTGTTTCTCACGCGTGTCATCTTCTCAGACATATTATCATCCTGCTTCCTCCACCCCTCTATTCTCCAGTGACAGTAAAGAATCCCCCTGTGAGACAACCTTTCCTGGTCTAATTCTTCAGTTCTGCCTTGAAGATGAAGATGAAAAGTAAGGTTTAGGTTTCTTGAGTGGCCCATCAAGAGATGTCATAATGTGCCAAATTATCATAGCAAAGAGGAGCATTTCCCTTTCTTCCCAATTAAGCAAAATAGACACTTTTCTCTGCATCAGTTTTTAAAAAGGGTGCTAAGAGACAGAGGCTTACAGAAAAAGAGTGAGGGTTTCAGAGATTCATCCATTTATGAACTTGCCAATGTGATGAAATTGGACACCAAATCATCCGAGTATCCATAGTCAATTATTCACTTCATTGCTTCTAGTTGGATATTTTGCATATAGTGGAAATTATGTTAAATGATCACACAGAGCTTTTTTTTTTTAGGGACAAAATAATGGCTTTTAAATTACCCTTTTCCCCAAAACAAATCAGCTTTCCCTTTTAAATATAAAAATGGCTGTTTTAATTATGTCATATTTGAACTTACAGATATCGTGCACAATATTTCAGTGGAAGTCACACAAACTTACCGGTAGTTGGGAAACACAAAAAGTTATTTTCTATGTTTGAGCTCATTTGCGAGACCTAGAAAATGACAATCAACACAGCAGATGAGTAAAATCTGTACAAAAAAAAAAAAAAAAACTTGTGTTGCTTGAGATTACTGACAAGATTGACTGGTCACAGACAACAAACCGGTGTATCCAAAGACAACAGCAGGATGGCTTGGAATAGCCTCATTAAAACTTCAACGTTTCTGCTGGATCTTTATGCATACAGTATGTTTTAACGGTGCTAGGTTTGTGTGTAGGCATTCTGTAAGTCAACTTCAAGAGCTAATCCTGCTGTGTAGCAGTATCATTTTGCTCAATATTAGCCCCTATTGTTAAGGAGAGGGAAGGAGGTGAACTCAGTGAAAAAAAGCTGTTGATGCATAACTTTTTGTTTGTTGTCTGAACAAGTACATGTTACTTTACTTTAACTACCATCAAAATGCTTCACAATAGTACAGAAACCATCAGAGCAATAACTCCCAAAATGTGATGCAATACCTAAACATAGGCAGTGACCGTCCCATGAAATAATGAGCAGAACAACTAAATGGGTGTTGAAGAAAACCTATGATTCGCAAACGTAACTCTTGTGGACAACACTTGCTATGCTTCTTTGTGTATTTCAGAACATCTTTCGGATTGATCTGAAAAGTCAGTAGCTAGCTCTTCTCCTGCTCAAACCTGATAAGGTCAATATGTTGATAGGCTTGTTTCTAATAATAATAATAATTGTAAGGAACTCTCGTGAGGGTTTGGACCAAGATCACAACACAACAG